CGGTAACATCTGCTTTGGGAACATTGGAACTTCCAAAATGAAGCCCTTCATGATTTGTCTTATGAAGGATTAATGACTTCTTCTAACTTATCCTCATGAGATAAGAGGGAAGTGAGAGGTGTGCATGCACTTATGTGGTGGAGAAAGAGAGAGAAAACATCTTAGTTGCTATCTCAATCACTTCACTTCAGGCATCACGTTCTGCAAAAAAGCCAAATTTACCACTAGTGATGCATGAGTGAAGAGGCTAAATTATGAAAGACACTCTGGCTGCTACTGTTTAAAGAAGAAAGATTATGGCGAGACCACTTCCAATTACGCAATATATACATCAAGACAAATGACATAATGTGAGCCACGCTCTGCATTGACGCTCTGGGGCCTATTGGCTGGTATTTTTAATGAATAGTGGCCAATGGTCAGGAAACAGCTGGAGCTCTCTTTAGTGTTCTGGATAGGAGAAGAACAGGAGCATTTTTAAAATGAGGTGAGGATGAGGGACAGAGAGATATGAAGGGAAAGGAGCTCCCTTAGGCGTGCTGGGGTGGCTCCTCAGGGATCTGACATGGGGATTTGCTGTTGGTAGGAATGCTACGCTCAACTTGCATATTTGTAAATAAACTCAAATATTGAAAAACACTGTAAGAGGTTTCTCCTTCCAAAGGAAGTCAGACTTCACTAAGTCCTGCCCAGAGTTGGTGACAAGAGCTTGCATGGTCAAGCATCTGTTGAGGGACCCCCACCTCAACACTGGCAAGAGGCTCCTGGAACTGCTGCAGCGAGAAGGGAGACTTACTGACAGAGGGGGCTCACTGACAGTATCTTGCCCAAGGGGAGGGGGGAGCTCAAAAACCTGCAGCTTACACAGCCCTTGGACCTTCTCACCACGCAGAAAAGAATTTTTCTGATAATTCATTTAATTATTTATGTGTAAAGCTCCTGCAATATACATGACACTTGACAGAATAACATAAGGAAGAAAATGTGGGTGGGCAAGTTCCTGTCTGGATAGGCTCACAAGCTAAATTTTAGGGGAGGGTGATACAGAATAGGGAAGGGCAAGCTAGGAAAAGGAGGGAGGGAGGAAGAAGCAAAAGGGGAACAGGGTGATTTTAGCCAACTGAAATCAAACATCACACCTAAGTATCATTGCACATATCTTACCACTGCCTTAAAATGCAGCTAGCCCAGGGTGGTCCAATCTGCGGCCAGAGGGCAACATGAGGCCCCTGAGGACTTTTTGGCAGCCCTTGGCAACATTTAACACACACCCCAGCCCTCCTGCTGCCTTCCCAAAGCCAGGTAAGTGAGGCATTGGGCTTTGGGAAGGAGGGCTCTGACAGGGTCATAGAGTCCTCCCTCCTTCTTCCCAAAGCCTATTTAGTGCTTTCTCAGCTTTGGGAAGGAGATGGGAGAACTCTAGGACCCTGACAGAGCCTCACACCTCCTTCCCAAAGCCTAGCACCTCACTTAGCCAGCTTTGGAAAGGCAGTGTGAGGGATGAGGGGGGGCATAAAAATGCCCCCCTTCACAGGACAAGGCAGTGTACTGCCTGCAGCTTCCATATCAAAGTATTCTTGCAGCCCACTTGGTATGAAAAGTTGGGCTCTTCCGAACTAGGCCATCCTTTTCCTCAATTTGGTTCAAAGCTCGTTTGGGGCGAAAATACATGAAAACACAGCATTTCTTAGGTAACAACAAGATAAATATGGATTGTGACTAACATCGTGTGTACACCACTTCCCAAACCAGCAGTTGGAGTGCACCAAATGAGGAGTGTGTACACAACCTTCGTATCCATTAAAAAATGTCCATAGGATCACAAATCATAGCTCTCTCAATTTCGAACAATGGCATACAAAGCCTTCTTTCAAAAAAAAACCTGGATCCTTCCCGCCAAACGTGTCAGCACCATCCTGTGAATATCTCCAACATATATTTCTACTATTCTTGTATATCTTAACCCTCAGTCAATATGGTGTCAGTGAGACACCACTGATACAGTATTTTATGAAGATTTCCCTTCATGAACGAGAAGCTCTGGAAAGTGCTATACAGAATAGTAAAAGTATTGTTTTAAAGTAGACACTGTTCAGTGTTTACAAAACATACATTTTATATCATCCAATAAACAGTGTCTCAATCTGAGTCCTAAATTATCACTGCAATACATTTTGGGTCTGTTTTTTTTAAAAAAAAAAATCTTAAGCACTAACAGTACGAAAGACTATCCTTACCACTTTTCAACAGCTGCACTTCAATGCTGTTAAGTGACTGCATAAAACCCAGAAGAGCCAGGAAATGGAGTAACAGCTATTCTCAATTGTCTCGTACACAGTATCATCTCTTCCACAGTGAACTGAATTTAAAGCACCACCATTTGGCCTGAGTACATGCCAACTTCAGGAAAATGCAAGTACTGTGTTTATTTCTAGACCCTCAGCAAATCTTCCAGAATCAATGGGTAATTCTGAAAAGATGCTGGTGAAAGCATTTTGTACTTATTCCAGCAACATTTCTTTATTATTGTCCTCATTGTGCAAGCCCATAGTCTGGAGATAGGATGCTTTATGTGCCACAAGCTATGCATCTCCATTTATATGAGACCAGGGACACTGGGGGATGTTCGATTCAGGGAGAATGATTCAAGGAGAGCACAAGCAGGGAACCAACTGTGTGCCCTCTTAACCAGGAAGAGTCAGGTCATGAAAGACACAAATTCTCTCACATTGCCTGCCCCTGACTTTTCAGGTGCTTCATGGTTGCTGGCCCAAGGCATTACACTGTTGAGTTGGAGGACAAGATGACACCTGTAGAATCCAGCAAGACTCGCAGCTGGAATCTTATATCAACTGGAGACAGTTGGCTAACTTAAGAGACTCAAGGGAATAGGAGCAGGGTGCCTGCCCTCCATTATCTGCCTCTTGAGGCAACTGCTTTGCTTTGCCTAATGGTAGGTCTGGTCTCCTGGCTTGTGGCTATGGTACTAGGGGAGAAAAGCAGCAACGGAAACAGCTTGGGATTTGTCACCATCCAGCTTTCAGCAAAGGCCCCTTCCTTTCTCAACTGCTACCACAGGCACTTATGAACAAGCCATCTTGCCCTTGTAATTGTCTTTCCTGTTTTATTGTGGCCCCATCTGCACTATATATTTAAAGCAGTATCATACCACTTTAAAGAGTCATAGCTTCCGCAATGCATCCTGAGAACTGTAGTCTGTTAGAGGTGCTGAGACTTGTGAGGAGACCCCTGTTCCCTTTATACAGCTAGAATTCTCAGAGTTCCCTAGGAAAAGGAGTTGGCTACTAAACTACTCTGGCAATTGCAACTCTAAGGGGAGTAGGGGTCTCCTAAAAACTTTAACAAACTACAGTTCCCAGGGGTTTTTTTTTTGGAAGAAACCATGGCTGTTTATAGTAGTATAATAATGCTTTTAAAATATAGTGCAGATGGGGCCTCTGACATGTTTACTGGTGCTTATTGTTGTAACAATCTAATGAAAACTGCATTGTGAGACCCACCTCAAAAGCCTTGCATAAATTTCACAAGACATAAGACAAGGATGAGGAACCAGTGGCTTTCCAAAAGTTATTGGACTAAAATTCCCATCATCCCTAATCACTGGCTGTGCTGGCCAGAGGTCAAAGAAAATCCAGAGGGACACAAGTCCTCTACCCCAGTCTTAAAAAGAAAGATGCTGTATTTTTCAGTATATTGGGTCACTTGCTGCAAGATGAAATCAGAAGCGAGGTAAGGGTCTCACTACCTATTTCTCCAGAGATTCTTTTCCTAACCTTTAACTCAGTTATACAGAAAGTATAGCACAGTAAAAAAAAATCATGCCCTGGCTCCTCAGTCAACACAGGGCACTTCCATTTCCAGATGGGTTGCTGCAAGAATGAGGGAGGTTGTGGCTAAACAAGCCAGATGATGTTGATTCAGAACACTCAACTAGAAAATTACTGTTAGCCACCTGTAAAACTTCTGGAAAGAATAGACTAGTAGCCCTGGATGGCTGTGATAGCACCATGGGCTTCTACAGGATGGGATCGTGACATGTGACCCAAAGCACCACAAGTCCTTTCCCACCTTTTTAATGCTTATTTTTCTCCTTAGAGCTTGAGCATTCACTTCTGCTACACTGAAACATAGGCTTCCTACTTTAAAAAGCAAACAAACAATTCCCTGCCCATAGAAGAGCAGTTTCACATCTTCAGCATGAGTAGTGATGAAGCAACCCGCAATGAGCTTGGAATTGGAAAATAAAGACTATTTTTCTCCTAACTTTGAAAATCAGTAGGTTTATTCTAGGACAAACTGCAAGCCAATTTGGACCCTAATGTGCCCCACAATTATGTCATCAGGAACATTACTGATCTGCTGGCCTCCCCAATGTCTCTCCAAGGCCTGATCTCAAGGGTGAGGAACCTTTTTCTGCCCAAGGGCCATATTCCCTTCTGGGCAGCATTCTGGGGGCCACATGCTAGTGATGTGAATTTTACCTTTGTAAAGGCTGGTATCTACACATACTCACATGCCTCTCTGTCTTCCATCCAGTCAATCAAGAGGCATTATCAGAGTTCAAGGGTGTGCTCTAGCCAATCAAGGATGGTGTGGAGGACCAGTGAGGGTTGTGGCCTGGGGGAAGGGTGTAACCTACAAACTTCCTCCCACTTACATGTCTGTTTTGTCCAGAAGCCTCCAGCTGACTCTGGTACTACAGCACATTTCCAAGATTGCCAGAATCAATGGCTATACTGGGTGTAACAGGGATGTTGTTATCATTATATTCAACCAGTATCACACCCCTACCCTCCAAAAACATGCAAACATCCACCTTATTGCTCTTCCTCCCGAGCACAAAGAACAATAATAAAAAATCATGACCATAAACATACCTTGGAGCAAGATGTGTAAAAGCTCTCTGTCACACTTTTATTCTCATCATCCATTGATTCTACCTTTTCTCATTTGTGGTGATGTTTTATTCTTTGTCTTGCTTTCAAGATTATTGTCAATTGAGACAAGCTGAAAAGTTAAAAGAAAGTGTGATTATGTCCAGTTACTTAGCCACACTGCATTCTGCAGTGTGTTCCATCCAAATAGAATCTCCCCAGATAGATCACCTTCCTTCTGTGGGTCATTGATCTTAAATGGGAGCCTATAAACTTCTCTGGTGGTTTCCAGAAAATGAAATCCATCCATATTTCAGAACACACTGTTACAATTCAGGTGTTAATAGATCTGAAAAGCTAATCCCTCTATGTTCTGAAAGTTCTTCTCAGAACTTTTTTATAGCATCTAGAACATATAAAGTGGATGTAAGCAAAGTGCCAACATCAGATAGCTGAGTAATGCTTATGATGGGCCTATTAAGTAGGGTGGCCACATGTCCTACATCACAGCAGACAGTTCTATGTTTGAAGGAGTTGTCTATTTGAAGGACTATCCAGTCAAAGACTGGTTTCACGATAAAAGAGGGTATTCTCTGTGGCAACCCCAGCAGAGCAAACTTTCATGGTGAAGGGAGAGTAAGAAATAATTTACAATTCAATAACCGAACTGAATTTGTTAACAGCCTTAGCAGCAGCATTCTGAACCAAGTCTTATTTCTACTCACACTTCAAATGCAGCCCTTTGTAGAGCCCACTGCAGGAATTCAAGGACTAAGCCTTGTATTTACCTGTGCAAATCTCCAGTCACCAGGAATGAGTGTAGTCAGTGTACCACCCTACATGAGACAACGGCCCTCTTGGCCACGTATGACATCTCAACATTTAGATAGGGTGGTAGCTAAATGGTAGGGCATCTGCTTTGCATGCAGAAGGTCCCAGGCTCAATCTCCAGCATCTCCAGGTAGCCCTGAACAGTCACTGAGTAGACAATAATGAGCTAGATGGACCAATGATCTGACTCAGTGCAAGGCAGCTTCCTATGACCATGCAAGGTTCAGAAGAACATTTTAACTAAGCATTAAAATGAGCAGTAGGGAGTTGCAAATGGTGACATAAAATGTTCAACTGAGATATTGTCAAATCTGCACTCTGTTCATTATAAGATATGTCAGAGAATGGAATATATCAATGGGGCAACATGCATCGTGGAAGGAGGGGAGGAATCGTCTCAAAGGAGTTTAAACACGCCAAAGAGTTTGTATAAAGCCATCTGGAACCATATGCTGCCTAGTTGCTCAGTAAAATGAATTAATTACTTTGATGAGGCACATACTTCAATCAGAAGACAATAAAATATCAAATCCTTTGAATCCTGCCTCATAAAGACACCAGATGACATCATGAAATACAGTATTATTGTTGAATGCTTCAGTATTACAGGGCTCCCTAACTGTAACACAGGCGTCTCCCCACTTCCATGCAAAAAGCACCCAATTCCCACTGACACATGCACTGAAAACAGAACCAAAAGGGGCAGGACAGGGGTGGAACAGTGTGGAATGGAGCTGGGTGGGAGAGAAACGAGGGAATTCCCACTTGTGTGCATTCAGGTGACGTGTGCAGTAGCCCAGAATGGAATCCTCATATAAGTTGGGGATTCCCCTGTATTTATAGAACAGAGATCTTTTTCAAGCTCACTTTTAATAAATGTGCACAGCACTTGGCCCAACAAAAACTATTTTTCTCAAACAGGGTGGTGGGTAAAAATGTCTGAATTCTTACAAGCACACAGCTTTAAGGAAAAAAATTGAGAACATGAACAACAGTTTGTAAACTGGAAGGTCAACTCTTTCAAAAAACAAAAGCATTTTAAAATCTCAGTATTTTTAGTCAATTGCGTAATTTTCAATTGTTTGAAAGATGTACCACATGGCATTGTATATCTGCAGTGCTGTAACAAGGATATACCAACTATAGCTCTGACTCTACTAGAAGATAACTAAAGGAAACGATTCTTCCTGTGCTTTCCTGGAATTTTCACAAAAAATGATATCTCCTTCTAGCATAATAAATCACAGTGCCTACAGCCTACACAGTAGGAGGATGTTTTGACAAGGATTCCTTATGATGCTATTGCATCTGCCTTGTCAAGACGCTAAGATGCCTTGTGAAACGGAGGGAGCTTCCTTGTCTGGTAACTTCTCCAAAAAGAAAAGGGGGGGGGGGACTGGCAAGATGTTCTAAGACTGAGAGAGCTTGTTGTAATGTAGATGCTATTTTGAATGGTGAAAGTTCACCAAAACAACACTGTGGGCTTGAGTGGCAGCCAACCTCTATAGCTAACTTATTGCTGATACACAGAGGTGAGGAATCTCAGCCTTGGGAACCTAATGCAGCCTTCCAAGCTTCTAACTGGCCTCACTTCAAACCTTGGGTGTTTTTACCTGGCTGGATTCCTGAAAATTCTCATTTTTCTGTATGCAAGAGGGTGTGTGAGTGTGTGTCTAAACTAGCATCTTGTACAAAGGTAACATTGAAATTGATTATTCTGCCCTCTTTTGCCTTTCGGCATGCCCAACACTGGCAACGATCCCCCACAGAAAGTTACCTAGAGAATAATGTAGGGTGAAAAGGCCAGTAAACCCACTGCTGTAATGGGGACACTACTTTTGATCACAACACAAGGAGAACCCTGATAAAATCAAGACACACAGCACTGCAGTGCTACAGGACAAAAGGGCATCAACCAGGTGAGCACTTCAGTATCGCTCAAAGTCTTGCCTAAGCTGAGGGCCACTTCTCCATTAAAAAAGGAAGGGGAACTTAGCTCCCCTTACTTAGAGAAGTTAGAAACAAACTTTGCAGACCCAATAATTGACAAACATCTCCCTCCCTTTTGAGGTGGATCAGTTGCCTTTCAAAAGTGAGTGATCTTCCTCCACTGCGAAAGTGGTAACTCTCTGAACATCACTTGTTATGAATCACAAGTGGAAAGAGTGATGATGTACTTGGGTCCTGCTCATGGGCTTCCCACAGGCATCTGGTTGGCCACTGTGAGAACTGGAAGCTGGACTAAACGGCCTTTGGCCTGATACAGAAAGCTCTTATGTTCTTATGTGTATTCAGTCCAGCTTGATCATCAACAGACTATGCCTTTCCACATCCTATTTGCGGCAGTGCCCATCTGATACTTCAAGTAATAAATGGCAGTTATTAAAGGCATTCCTCACTGACTCCACTGAACTAACTCAGTCTCAAAACCAGATTTTGTTTTTTAACTTCTACTTTTTTCTGGGGAGATAACACAAAAATTTCTCTAATGGCTCTTCTGCTTGCTAGTGTAGCACCTTTGTCCTAGGTAATATATCACACCGAAGAAAGTACCACAGAAATTAATGGGGCAAAGGGCTGATTGACACATTAAGGTTTCTTCTAGCAGAGATAATGTGCACAGCCATCTTCCTCATTTGTGGCAAAATAAACACACACCTCACACATCACAAGTGATTGTGTATATATTGTTTTCTTATATGAAAAAATGCCATATAAGACACTGATCTTGTTTTCATGTAATGCTAAACCAAACTGTGGCTTAGTGTGAATGAGATGCTCCTGGCGAGATCTCCCTTCAGTTATTCTGATGCTGCACTGAACTGAACTATGGTTTGACTTTGCATATCAACATAGGTTTGTGGTTTAGCTCTCCAAGGCAAACCACAAGCTGTAAACCATAGGACCAACCTTGGTTTGAGCTCGTGGGTTTGTCTGCAGAGCTAAACCCTGAGTCCAGGTTTGTAGGACACATTACCCTGACTTAGCAGAGCGCAGCAGAATGACTGAAGGAGGAGTAAACTGGTCACAAGTTCCTCTCTGTAAGCCTGCATGTTTGCTCCTAAGCCATGATTTGACTCTGTGTTATGTGCAAACTGAGCCATTGTCAAATAATTAATTTACAGAACTCCCTGCCATAAAGATATAGTGGTGACCACTGGTTGGTTATAAAACGGGGTTTGAAAAACATTCATGGAGGGCATATCTATCAGTCAAGTCATGATGGTTATATGAAATCTTCGTGGTGGGGAGGATTTGTTTATCAGCATCACTCCCACTTTATTTCCTGTTAATTACAGATACTGTTTTTTCTCTCTGCAAACAACCATGGTTTTGCACAACAGCCACAACCCTAACATAAAACATGAAAAAAACGACAAATGAAAGTATGGTGGCATGGCTTCAAAGGTAACTAACTTTAGTTTAGGGAAAAGGGGAAACTGGGGGTGGATGCAATGTGGAAAACAGAATGGGCAGAGTTTAAAGTGTGGATGCAATAATGCAGGAATATTGAGGAAGAACTGATAAAGGAGGATAATGTGCTGCCAGTACTATGCACTATTCACATATCAAAGATATGATATTGCATATACCCTTAGTAAAACAGCTATGTAGATGGGCCCTAACTCCTTAGGAAATGTACTTAGGATTGCATCTAAACCACAATTAATTTTCCTTTGATTAAATCCAATGTATCTCATTGGAGATGTGAATTTATTATGACTGTAGCTTAAATTCATTTAGCTCTTGGAGATTGCATCCAAAGCTTCCATTATCATGCATTTATACATTTTGGTACACGTTTCCCTGTGCATTTTTGTTTGTACACATCATATAGGCTGTTATCTCCATTAATGCTTTTGCTCAAGTTCTTCTCAATTCATTGTTTCTTCTTCTCCTATAAAAATATAAATAACTCTTCCTAGTCATTTCTGATATATATACACGCCAAGAACATGAATTTACAAGTGTGAAGTAAGCTCTCAGCTCCTTAACTGGATTAGAAATTTTCTCAGTTGACGAATCCTTTTTAAAAATCCTGTAGAATCCTTAGCATCTAAAGAATCCCTGAAAATCAGACTTACCAGAAATAAATTTACCATAATTAGCTTAGTGCCTGCGCATTCAAGATAACTTTGTACAAATATTTTCAAACAAGGATGGTCACAGGGGATAATTTATGGTAAGACTTGATGGTGCAGTAACAGATGTTGCTGGAAGCCTTGATATTCTCATTGTAGCATGCAATGCTGAAAACAAAACGCTAGAAATGAGAAAACAGAATATACTTTTTCTGAATCCTATAGAGCATTTGTTCTCAGTAGATAGGAAAATCAGTTAAGGAAAACCAGTTAAAGAACACTGCTGATGAAAAATTCACAGAAGTTTTTGAACACAGGAGCATTTGGTTCTCTGAATTGGTGCTAAATAGGCAAGGTGCCAACTTTTTCAGAGTTTGCTTAAAAAACAAAACAAAAACAGACAACATGTAACCTGGGATTGGAAGCAGTGGGAATCAGTTGAAAAATGACAGCATCATTTTCCAGAAACATCCCAACAGAATTATGTCCAGAGGCAAATCAACAGAGTTCCTCTTAAATATTACATGTTTTGTGCAACATGGATCCAGCTTCATTATTTATTTATTTATTTATTTATTTAACGGGGCATGGGTGGCGCTGTGGTTTAAACCTCTGTGCCGCTTGGACTTGCCGATCGTAAGGTCAGCGGTTCGAGGCCCCGCGACGAGGTGAGCTCCCGTTGTTCAGTCCCAGCTCCTGCCAACCTAGCAGTTTGAAAGCCCACAGTGCAAGTAGATAAATAGGTACCGCTCCAGCGGAAAGGTAAACGGCATTTCTGTGCGCTGTTCTGGCTTCACCAGAAGCAGCTTAGTCATGCTGGCCACATGACCCGGAAAAACTGTCTGTGGAAGTGGACAAACGCCGGCTCCCTCGGCCTGTAAAGCGAGATGAGCGCCGCAACCCCAGAGTCGTTCGCAACTGGACTTAACTGTCAGGGGTCTCTTTACCTTTACCTTTATTTATTTATTTATTATTCAACTTATACACCTATACCTGGAGGTCTCAGGATAGTTCACATCACAATCCTATCCATGTAGATTCAGAAGTGAATCCAACTGTGGGACTGGGGGGTTAATTTATACGATTTACCTGCCTAAGACTTGCAGCCTGTTCAAATAATAATAGCATCCCCATTTTTAAAAAATAAATGTGAGCATGTTGTATGTGCACAAAAACACGCATATGCACACTAATGTTCTCTGCTCACATGATAGAAAACCTTTTCTGCTTGATTATACATTCCACATTCCTACTGCACAGTTCATTTTATTTGGTTGCTTTTAATAACCTACTGTTTTATTTTGTGCTGCAGAGTACATTGTTCTGTTTTTTTAAAAAAAAATTGTTGTAAAGTGCTTAGAAACCCATGATTAAAGATGAAATCATAAATATTTTAAACGAATAATAAACGAACAGCCATTGATCCTTGGAGAAATGTCTTCCACAGACACATACTCTGCAGTAATTATTAATACCCCTGAGCGTCAAGGAACCATTTGATTTTGGGTATGGGTGTGATGGCTAATGAAAAGTTATGCACTCGCTGGCTTCCATCTCACCCGCCACCCCACCCCGAACACACCCACCCACCCACCTACCTACCTTCACTTCCAGCTCAGCCAGTAGACCACAAGCCTCAGGGCTGTGGGTTCGAGCCCCACATGGGGCAAAGGATTCCTGCATTGCAGGGGGTGGACTAGATGACCCCCCCAGGTCCCTTTCCAACTCTACAATTCCCATGGAAATCTCTCTGTAGCTTGGCTGCTTCAGAGAGGCGTGCTTCTATCAGGGCTGAAACGTTATGTGCTTTTAACCGGCTGTAGCAAAAAAACCCCAACCCAACCCCCTCGAAATTCGCCTTATGGAACAACAGAGTCCATTTAACCCCCGGTTCATTTGGATATCCTGAGAACCCCTTTCCTCATTTCCGAACCCGCCTCTCAGTCGAGAGGCATTTCCCAGGTTTAAATTTAAACTGCCTACTTAGCAAATAATAATAATAATAAATAATAATAATGACAAGATATATTTCATGCCACCCTTTCTCCTCACCTTTCCTTATTTCCGAACCCGCCTCTCAGTCGAGAGGCATTTCCCAGGCTTAGATTTAAACTGCCTGCTTTGCAAATAATAATAATAAATAATAATAATGCCGAGATATATTTCATGCCACCCTTTCTCCTCACCTTTCCTCATTTCAGTCGGGAGGCATTTCCCAGGTTTAAATTTAAACTGTCTGCTTTGTAAATAATAAAATGATGATGGTGATGAAGGTGATGGTGACAAGATATATTTCCTTCCTCCCCACCCTCAAACCCAGAAGAGCGAGGCGAAAAAGAAAAGAAAACCCAAGTCGTATTTCCAACGCCTCACGGATCTCCCCCTCCTCTGCCTCTTTTAACTCTCACAAAGACAGAGAAATAACCCACGTAAAACGCGACACCCCCCTCAATCCTTCCGCAAGCCCCATCCTCGCCACACAATATTGGGGTTTCCACACACTTTCTGAGGGAATGAAGGAGGACAACGTACGGCAGGGTCCCGAAAAAGCAGCCTCAGCAGCCTCCCCCCCCCCTTTTCCCCACCACCTCAGATTTTACCTCAGGAGGAGCAGCGCCGCTGCGAAGATCCACCGCGGAGGAACCCGGCGATCTCCCGCCGCCGCCGCCACGCGCGACGCAAGACGATACTCCCCGGCAGCCCAGGAAGGCCAATCGCACATGTTGCCTCGCGTCCGTCACGTGGCAGGCGCCAGCCAATCCCTCCGCGGGTCCCGCTCCGCCGCTCCCCCGCCCCACCAGCCGCTCTCCCCCCCCCCCCCATCCCGCTTAGAATTCCCGGCTGTGGGAACGCACGAAAGATACCCTGGGAGTCGGGAGATTTCAATAGAATTAGATATCCTAGGGGTACCCTGAGGGTCATCTAGTCCAACCCCCTGGGATATGCAGCTGTCCGCCTCTAGGGGGGAATCGAACCTGCAACCTCGGCGTTATCACCACCAGGTTCTACCCAGCTGAGCTACCCAGCCACGTAAGGCGTTTGCCCTCTCTGAATTGTTTTACTATAGCTGAGTTTGCATCCAATGTTACATCAAATAATCAGGTATCTGGGCCAGCTGAATAGGCTGGGGGGGGTGTTTTGCGCTCAAATCGAATTTAGTTCCCAGAATATAAATGAAGTGTTTTAGTTTTTTGCAACAGCAGGGACAAGTTATTATGGAGATTAGAGGCAGGATTATGCGAGAGCTGTATTGGATTAGCCATAATCGGGCCAAAATGGGAAGGCCCGTATTTAGCCGTTGTGGTTTTTAAAAGATTTAAAAAGTTGATGAGGGAAACAGGTGCTGTCAATAAGCAGGAGGCCCTTCGGAAGAATATGTGCTAATTGGGAAGAGAAGCAACTTCCTTGGCAATATTGGGAGAGCTCAGTTGATGGATCACGAGACTCTTAATCTCAGGGTTGCACAGTGGGCAAAAGGGGGTTATTATTATTTATTAAATTTGCATGCCACCCATTCATCTGAATATCTCAGGACAGCTCACCGCATAAAAACACAAAATGAAAACATAAAGTGCATGACCCTTGCTGCCTCCAAATCTCACACCCCCTTTTCTATTCATGCTCTACAATAGTGGTTCTCAAAGGGTGCACCACACTGGTCCGGCAGGAGAGAATGGCAAGTGTGGCGGGAAGGTGCAAGGACAATCAAACATTTAAACGTTTCAGTGTAGTACTGTATACGTCTTATAGTGCATAGTAAGAGGCTTGTTTAATAATGACATTTTGGGAATGATTCATATAACTGCATTGGGCTAGAATGAGGCATCTGATCAAAATCTGCTTTGAGCTTAAAAAAATTATATTTGTAAATATATTTTTCTCTGCAAGGGAGAAGAGCAGCTGAATACTCCGGCAGCTGTTCAAGGGGCCCCACTGCTATAAATAAAAGTATTTCAAGGTTGTAAAAGGAAATTAGAGCCAGAGAGCAAAAGGTCACACTGACCAGAATACAATCAAGCTGTAAAAACACAATTAAGAACTGGTAAATAGTGAAATTTATTGTTTAACAGAAGACTCGAGCCATAAGGTTAAAGGTTAAATGGAAGAGGTTGCTCTTAGAAACAGCTGCTGGTTAGGGAAAAGGCCTCTCTCCAAACTGTTTTGAAGCTTCAGAGAATTTACTAAGTTCCTTCTAATTTGAAAAGGCCTTTCCTTCTAAAAATCTATCTATGTTATGTATGAAATATATTGGCTTAAATGTGATTATGCAAAGGATTTAGAAAGTAAGAAATGTTAGATTCTTATGTTAGATTCCTATTATGGTGGGTGAGAAGGTGAACTCAAGATCTCTTTAAGATAAAAAAATTAGAAACCATGCACCATCTGCTTTAGCCATCTGGTTTGCGGTGAATAGGGCAACAGGGGCCAAAGGTTATCTGGTAATTGAGGTGCCTGGTCGAGGTAAATGTAAGATATATGGCTACTTGTCTGCCATTTATGGATACAAGGAAATATAGCTTTTGTCTCCCATAAAAGGGAATAGGAAATGGGTGTATCTTTTATGATTGGTTCTAGCAAACAACCAATAGGAATTTCAACCAGGCTGATTGGACAGAGGCAGCCAAAGGAGGAGCAAGGGGGCTGGGCTGAGGAAATATAAGTGCTGGCCATCAGGGCTGGAGTAGGCAGAGCTTTGGTATCCATATACCACTGTGTCTCTCATTTATTTGTCTGACAAATAAATTATTATTTTAATTTCTCTATTGCTGCGTTGAATATTTCATTCCAGCTAAGCGTTAACCACAAGCAGGGTGCTACATTTTATGGTGCCTCTGTGACTCGGATAAGTGGTCTGCTGGAACGCAGCCCCTTCGCCCTAGCGGGCAGGGTACAAGAGGGAGGACCACTGACCGCTTACCCAGCGCGCACTGGAACATTTTTCCAGGGGAACGCAGAAGTCTCGTCTGTCTGATACCCTGCTCACTGGCGGCGACGGACCGGGGGTAACCAGAGAAATAAACAGGGAACCAGCTAAGGGTAAGTGCACAAAGGGTTGTGGCCCTCCAATTAGTTGGGAGGTAGAGAAGTCTTGATCAAACTTCTGCGTCTCTGTGAGGGGAACTGAGTACGCTAGGTGGTTGGGTACATCAGATGGTGGTCTGGTGGAGGGAAAAGGGAAAGATTGGGAGGTAGTGTGTGGTGAAGTATCCAGCGCATTGTATGTGTGAGAAAGTACAATCTGTAGCTGACCTGAGTGTGGAGTGGGTAGTACTTCGGTTCCTAGTAAGGCGACTTCACTAGGCAAGGATCCCCACGAAGCGTGTGTGTGAGTGACTGAGTGGATACTTCACAGGGCCATACAATGGGAGTTGGAGGTTCAAGGGGGGAAAATACACCTCTTGAATGTATGTTAAATAATTTTAAGAAAGCCTTCTCAGGAGCATATGGAGTCAAAATGACGCCAGAGCGCTTGAGAACGTTATGTGAATTAGACTGGCCAAAACAAAATACTGGATGGCCACCTCAGGGAAGTTTTGATATAAATTTAGCAAGCAAACTTTGGTCTAACATCACCAAAGAAACTGGAGGGTGCCCAGAACAATTTTCATATATAGATTCTTGGCTGAGCACATTAAATAATAATCCTCCATGGATAAGGGAATGCAAAGTCCAACAATGCAAATTATTGGCTGTAAAAGCCGAAGCTAGAAAAGGAATCTTGCCAAATAAACTCAAACCCATTTTTGAGGGACCAGAGGAAGAGGTGCTTCCACCTCCACCCTATGCTCCACATCGAGGGAGCCTAATCCAAACACTCCACCAGTTGTAACCCCAAGGCAAGAAAGTGGAAGGAATAATGGGGCTGGAGTCACAGAGCTTGATTCCTTGATAGATTATGATAAATATCTTCAGGAGGCATTGGAGTCCTATAATAAAGCCCAAGCAGAAGTGGTTATTCCACCTGTGAGTCCCAGTAGAACTCCATCTACAGTCTCCTTTAGTGGAACAACTGATTGCCCACCCCAAACCCCTGTACATCCAAGTCCTAGAGAACTATTACAGGAGTTACAGGGAGACTTTGATCGGTCAGTAAGCAATACAGCCAGGCGTATAAAGCTGTTAAAAAGAACGCCTTGGGACAAATACTATCCCCTATGATTTGAGGCCCCTAAAGCAAAGCGAAGAGAAAGGTCACGTAGTAGCCCCTCTCAGAAGAGTATTTGATGCACTTGAGGAGCCTGTGCTGGTTAACGGGCAACTCGGACCACGGCCACCTCGAACTTCGACCCTCCAGTACATTCCATTCACAACTACGGATCTGATGAATTGGAAAACACACACCCCGTCTTTCGCAGAAAAACCTCAGGCTATGATGGACTTGGTGACTTCAATAGTAAATACTCATAGTCCTACTTGGACAGATTGCCGCCAGCTCCTGAATACTCTGTTCACCACTGAGGAAAGAAGAGACATAATTGAAAAGGCACAGATATATTTGCGTGAGCAGGCCAGAGTGGGAAATATTCTTAATGTTGACCGTCATCTCCAGGACAATTTTCCCTTGGAGGATCCTAATTGGGATCCAAACAATGCAATTCACCTGGCCAGGCTTACCACCTACCGCCAGACGCTTGTGCAAGGTATCCGCAGGGCATGCCAGAAGCCCACTAATATGACTAAAGTCTCAGAAGTAGAACAGAAACCGAATGAGAGTCCGGGAGACTTTTTAGAGAGGCTGCAGGAAGCCTATCGTATATGGACTCCTTTTGACCCTGAAGCCCCTGCAAACAGCAGAATGATTACTGCTACTTTTGTGGCTCAGTGCGCTTCTGACATTCGTAAGAAAATTCAGAAGTCAGAAGGCTGGGAAGGGATGCTGATGAGCCAAATTATGGCCATTGCACGCCGAGTTTATCGGAATAGGGATGAGGCTGAGAAACAAGAGAAGAAGAAGTGGCAGAAGGAAAAGATGGTGATGCTAGCCACAGCAGTGAAGCAAGACTACCGCCCTTTAAATGGAGGGAGAGGGCGGGGAAGGAATCCACCACTGGGAAGGAATCAATGTGCGAATTGCAAGAAGGAGGGTCATTGGAAGCGGGAGTGTCCTGAACCCCTGAGGTTGGAAGAAGTACGCCCAGGCCCAGGCCCAGGCTCCGGCCCAAGAAACCAGGGACGGGGACGGGGAATGATCCGAGATGGAAGATATCAGAGACCTGGACAAGGACGGAGTAGAGACAATTTCATTGGACTGGCAGAGGAGGATTTTACCCAAGACTAGGAACGACCGGACTCCATAAAGTTAGGCTTCCAGGAGCCCACGGTCAAAATTCAATTAGGGAGCCATTTAATAGACTTTATGATAGATACTGGCGCTGAATACTCAGTACTCCCAGAACTATTGCAGAAAAAGGCATCCAAAAGTGTAGTCATTAAAAGTGCCACTGGTCAGTCAGCTAAGAGGTCTTTCCTCCAACCTTTAGAATGCCAGATTGGGGGACATCATTTAACCCATCAGTTTTTGTATATACCTGAGTGTCCAATGCCTCTCTTAGGTAGAGATATGCTGTCCAAATTGCAGGCCCAAATCACCTTCACTCCTCGAGGTCCAGAAATGAAACTGCCATCAAAGGCAGCAGGAATAATTTCCCTCTCAGTACCTAAGGAACAATCATGGCGCCTAATGTCAGCCCTGCAAGTCCAACCCACATTGGATACAGAATTAAACAAGCTCCTCCGAGACCCTACAAGGGCCACCAGGAGTATGGGCCGAAAATAGCCCACCAGGAATGGCTAAGAATATAGCTCCAATTGTAGTAACCCTAAAACCTATGGCTACCCCTGTATCTGTAAAGCAATATCCTTTAGAGGGCATCCAGAAACATTTGGACCGCCTATTAAAATATGGTCTGCTTAAGCCCTGCCAATCAGAATGGAACACACCCCTTTTGCCTGTTCGGAAGCCTGGGACAGATGAATACAGGCCAGTACAGGACTTGAGGCTCGTAAACCAGGCTATCGAGACCTTGC